GAAGGCAGATGCTTAATGACTGAGCCACCCAGGAGCCCCTGTATATTCCTTTTTAAATATAGCAAGGCCAGAGTATATTTGTTGGAGGAAGAATGATTCAAACCTGATGGGTTTCAAGGCTCACAGGAGCATAAACTGGCCCTTGAGACAGATGAAATTTAATTTTTGTCTTTGGATCCTTCCCATCTCTGCCAGTAGTGCCTTTATATATCCATTACATGGTATTCTTGCTTTTAGGTTATTGTCAAATCATCATTAATGTGTTAATTTAAAAAGAAACGTGACTATTTTGAGTTATTTACTTCTTAATAGAAATAATGCAGTTCTTAAAGGCTTGAGGTTAGAATGACTCACACAGTAACTGCAGAACGAAAATTTTCCCTGAAACTGTGCTATCCGGGGCAGGGTACTTTGTCTTGTGCTTTCCCAAATACAGTAGGTTCCCAGTTACTTCTCTACATGCAAAACTGGATCTTTACATGAAACTTCAGTGACAAGAATAAAGACAAAATTTTCCAAAAGCTTGGAGGTGTGCTGTTTGAGGACCTAAGAAAAGAGGAAGTTGTTAGTCTCATTATCTGGTATTCAAAACATATACATCAGAGCTTCCCATAGTGCAGTACTGTACTTTATTGGCTCAGGTATTGATCTACGTGTGTAGGACTCAACAGCCAAAACTAGGAATGGGGGGCTCCCATTCCTCTCTTCCTTCCAAAAAACTGAAATTGTATTACTGTGTGCAATGAAATACACCATATGTTTTGTACTGCAAAACTATAAGCCTTAAGATGTGTATACACAAGATTTGATTCCAACAAGTTCCTTTCTAAGTCAGAGAAAGAATAGATTTTGAGTACATGAAGTTGCCTGAGATAGGAGGCTGATATAAATTGGCTTGTACCTGTTCCAATACGGGGCTTCTTAGGCTTCTTCCCCTGGCCAGTTTGAGGAAGGTGAAGGCAGAGGACCTATAGGGCTCCTGTTCATGGGGAACAGAGCACGTGGAAGTCTCCTTATATTAACACCTGTTTGCTTCACGTGATACCAGGCAAAACCCCTCTGTGGTGTTGAAAGAAAAGTTCCTATAACTTGGCATGATTAATTCTTTCCATACCTAATCAACTAACATTTACTTTAACTTGGTTTGAACTTGCTTTGGAATCCCAAAAGGGAACACTTTTGATCCAACTTTATTAAAAATAAACAGTGTAATTAGTCCTTTGAGGCTATAAGGAGTAAGTCGTTTGAGTTTTGTCATAAAGTGGCAGCCATACTCCTTTAATTTAAAAAAAAAAAAGAGCTATTTCTTGAGTACAGGGTAGGAGAAAATTTGCATAGGGTAGAAGAAAGTTTGCTACTATATTCAAACTTCGGGAAATTCTTTTAAACTTGGTTAGTGACTCAAGACCTTGGGTATCTTGATAATGTAATGAAGTTATAAAAATTTAAATGTCTATATGTTATCAGCACAAATAACAAAATAAACCCTATTTTCAATAAATACTGGATATTGAATCACATACTAGTTATGACACAACTAGTTGCATGAACTTGAATATGTTAAATTCTTTGAGTGTCAGTTTTCTCATCTGCAAAATGGGTTTCACAGGGCTTTCAAGAGAACGGATTGTATATAGTTTGCACTAAGATAATAAAGATTAGAAAAATCATTTAAATTTTGCTCATTATCAAGTAGAATAAAAATTCTCTTCTCATTTACATAAATTCTGTAAGTTCAGAGTATCCATTTTTCTCTGCTGACTACCCCCATCCCCTGAATAAATGTTGAACTTAAAGTCCTTTAAAACAACACCATGAGCTGTTAAGAGTCTGTCCCTTTTTAGATGCCATTCTACTGAAAAATTTTGCACACTCTGGAGTATGAAGTAAATTGTGAATACTATTGGCTTAGCAGAGATACAATAAAATCAAAAGAACATATTTAAAAGTTCTATTGTCCAAACTTGGTTGGAATTAGGAAATATAGTCATGTCGGACTGTGTATTGGCGATTTTTATTTGTAGCTAATTATGTTTTTTTTCTTCCTCCTTGAAAATGGGAAAATATTCTATGATATTCTTAGGAGTTCATAGGCTAAATAAATTATGGTTTAAAATATACAATAGATAAAAGATAATTTTGCACTGATCAGAATTATCTGTCTAGAGAAAAGTTTTTTAACATTCCAGGATTGTCAAATCTTGCCCCTTTAAATCAGATAGAATGGTGAGGTCAATAAAAGCAATCTACTTTTAATATGGGAAAGTGAGGAGCCAGCCTTGCTCTGATTTTCAGGAATCAGAGAAAGTGTGCTCAAGAGTGTTGAACGGTGGTTCAACTATGGGTGGGCTCTTCCCACCTTCCCACCCGGTGGTTACTATGGGTGGGCTCTTCCCACCTTCATTTTAACCTCCCCAGTGGGTCAGATCTGCAGAGGACTGGGAGTCCATCCTGGAGTCCCAGTCTAAAATCCATTTCCTAAGTACAGCTGGTGATTTTGTAAGCACTTAATTCCCTGTAATCATCTTTGCTTAAAATTCCTAGAATAGTTTCTGTTTCCTTCAGTGAAACCTAACTGATATACATTCCAATTAGAATGGGACTTCTATAAAGTGTGGCAGATAATCACCTTACCTAGAGGATGTTTCGGTGCCCTACTTGACCCCAAAGCCTTCTCTCATAAGAACAGGCCAAGAAACAAGAAATGAATCCAAATGTTGTTCAATAATGCACCTGGTGATATCTACATTCATTCTTAGAAAAAATTCCCTTATGATAACATTTCATCTTAGAATAAAGATGGAATATCATTCTGAAGGGAGATTAGTATAATTGCTATCTTTTCCAAAAAATGGGCATTTTCCCTTTCTCTTTTTTTTCCCCTTATACCTGTTTACTTTGGTTAATGCAAATGAATAGGGACACAAGATTTTAATATGGTCATTTGTCCTAGAAGCCAGGCTTTCACCCACTTTATTACACTGTTTTCTTCACATGTGTGATTATTTCACGAACATCAGACAAATAGACTCTGATAGCAGCATCTGTCACAGACAAACGTTTATTGAGCACCCAGTCTGTGCTCGATCCTGTTTCCTATCACCTTAGAAATATATATTCTTTCTCTTACATTTCCATGGAGGAAGGGACTTCTTTTCTTCTCCACATTCTGGAAATCTTGGATTTTCCCCCCTTAACCTGATTTTGTAAGTGAAGAGAAAGAAATAGTAATCTGGAGTCCGGCTAAAATTCTTTGGGCCATCCCTTTACCAGTAGGTGGAGCTATCGTGCTTCAAAAGCAAGAAGGCAGCTCCATCCTTTTCTTTGGACCGATTCATTTATTAATAGAAAAATGACTCTTTGGGGGCACTATCTCCCCACCCTTACTCCTGCAGGGTAAATAGATTGGTACATGGAATTCCTTTTCTGCTTGTGGGGAATGTCCACAATTTTCCTTTCGTTTACAGCGGATCAAGTAAGAGGGAATACGTGGGAAGCCTCATTTGGCTTTAAGATTAAGGTGTATTTTTCCCATCTAATATTTACTAGAGAGTTCTGCTTTCTACAGATAATGGTCCCCTTGACCATTGCTACAGCTGATTCATTTATCTTATCTGACTAGAGGCCTTTGTGTGTATTCTTTACTGATTAGAATTTAGAGAAGAAGAATTAATCTTAGGATGAGCTAACTTCTAAAAAAAATGCTTATGATTTCGTCAGCCTTAAAAAAAGAAAGAAATTCTGCATTTGGGACAACATAGATGGACTTGAAGGACATTCTGTTAAGTGAAATAAGTCAGACATAAAAAGACAAATAGTGCATGATTTCACTTATATATATAAAATCTAAACATGTCAAACTCTGAAAGCACAGAGATGGGGACCTCTCTGAGAGCCTCTGGCAGACCTCTATGTGACATCGAGGGAGGAGGAAAATTGTATTTTTTCTGAGTTCAATAACTTTGATCTGAAGTGCTCCTACATGGACACCAGGAGTTCAGCAGTGGCCTTCACATACTTTACTGGTATTTTTCATATTCCACACTCAGGTGTGCAAAGAGAACATGGATGGGATGTAAGCCTCTGCCTGTGCGGCAAGAATTCTGTTGTAGTCAGGGCCTAGGAAAGTTGGAAAAAAGGGATTCTCATTCATTCATTTAATTAAACAAATATTTATTCAGTACCTACTATATATGCTGCATATTACTCTAGGTGCTGCAGAAATAGTGCCGAAGAAAACAGATAACAGAACTTAAATTCAAATGTATGTGAGTGTATGAATGTATGTGTATGTGTTGTGGGAAGACACATTAACAAACAAATAATGTATACTATTTCATATAGCAATAGGGGCTGTGGATGCAGGAAAGATCATTTGCTTTTCTGTTTGGGGATGTGTCCGATCTGGCAACAAACCAAAAGGTGTGTAAAATGGTATATGCCAAGAAATCAGTGTTACTATAATGAACTTGGGCTATAATCCACAGTAGGTAATTTCTTTTTGTTACAAAGTCTTATCTCTGGGGAAAACACTAGGAGAACCTGTCTTCTAGTTTTTAATCAGGTCCCTAGGATTTCCTAACTCATGAAAACCCCTGGGGTCATATTAGCAGAAGGCTCTTTTGGCACTGGGAGATGCTATTTACTAGCCCCTAGTCTGGAGAAAAACACTGGGCAAAGCCACTATCAGAAATCATGATCTGTAAGTTATTGCTCATCAGAGGTCTGTGCTCTGGCTCCCTCAGTCAAAACAAAAACAGTAACAAAGAAGAATCTCCATTCTGGGCTGCTCACCTCTAAAATTCATCAGAGCCACATGTGTCTCCTTGGGAATAAGGGAGAAAGGTTCACAAGGCCCAATATTGAAGTCCCAATGCAGAAGGGTGAGTGTTGAATTTTATCTGTCCTGTTCTTGTTCTTCCCAGCCTCAGCAATGGAAGCGGAAGATTCGAGAGGACGTTATCTCCTCTCTGCTGAGGCAGCCATTGATCATTAGGTGGGGCTGGTGGACTTTCAAAGCAGAAGTGGAGCAGAGACAATGTAGCCCTGATGAGTCACAGGGTTACTCAGTCTTACCCATATGGCCCTTACCTGTTAGTGTGTTTGATAGACATCTCTGAACAATCTCTCAGCCTTTATACAGTGGGGACAACAAAGGCACACAGCAGGGTGGGTTTGGGTTAATTCTGGGTCTCAATCTCAATATGGAGGGTTTGGGGGGAGAGTGCTGGGTACTCATTGTAATGTAACCCTTTGTCCTGTTCTCACAGATATGCCTTAGGGAAGAATGGCCG